TCTGTCCCAAAAAAATAAATAAACGTTAAAAAAAAAAAATAAATTAAAAAAAAAATAAATAAATAAAATAAAATAAAATAGGGTAACGAATGCAGCGTCCATGCAACGTGGCATACGACAGACCCTCCATAATGTCACCATCTTTCCTCACCAAGGAAAGCCTCAAGAGAAGGAAAGCCCAGCTTAGGAAATCATTCTAATCCACCAACATACACTGGCAGTGTATGGAAAATGGCTTTGAAAACAGTCAGTTTTAGGAAAAGGTGTTTTTCTGCAGTTCAGTAAACTTCGGGACCAGCCTCAGGGAGGATCTTTTTTTGTGTGTTAAAAACATGTCACTTCCTAAAGGGAAGTAAGAGCAAGAAAAATATCAGGCAGGAGGGTCATGGTGGAGAGCATGCTGTCTGTGTGTTCTGGATTACTCGAGGCTGGCCCCTCCCCCTGAGTGAGACCAGCTGAAACCAGGACCATATGTGGACCTAAGAGCTGAGGTCAGGAGACTGGGGCATAGGAACCAAGGCACAGGACTGTGGGGCAGGTTGTGGACTGACAAGGGCCCAGGGTCATTTTGTGCACAGCCCCCTTACACAGAGGCCAGCCTGTCCTTGCTGCTGGGAGAGTTCATTAATAGCTCCCTGCTGATGACAACAGAAGTATGTTTATTATAAAACTGTCCCAAAATAGAGAAAAGCACAAAAAAGGAAAAAACGATCATCTGTAATCCTACCACCCACAGATTAGTCTTCTCAATATTTTGGTGGTTGTCCTTTCAGTATTTGTTATGTGTGAATTTGTTTTTACGTTTATTAGTCTAAAAATGGGACTACTGGACATACTTCTTTGGAGGGAGCCTGGTTTTGTTTTGTTTTTTTTTCCTACTTAATATAGCATCCTTAAGATGGTATATCCACATCCGTAAGCATTCTAGGGGCGCCTGGGTGGCTCAGTTGGTTAACCATCTGACTTCGGATCAGGTCATGATCTGGCAGTTCATGAGTTCAAGCCCCACGTCGGGCTCTGTGCTGACAGCTTAGAGTCTGGAGCCTGTTTCAGATTCTGTGTCTCCCCTCTCTCTCTGTCGCCCCCACTCTGCTCACACTCTCTCTCTGTCTCTCTCTCTTGAAAATAAACATTTTTTAAAATTAAGAAAAAAGAATTCTAGAAGGTAAGAGCTACATAGTATTTTATCATCTGTATAATTTTTTTAAGCCGTCTCCAAGTTATAGTGTTTATTTGACAATCTTTTACACCTATGGTCAACATCCTGGGAAGAAACTTAGGTGTATTTCCATGATTATCTCCTTAGGAGAAATGTCTAGAAGTTGAATTGCTGGACCAAAGGGTTTGCACATGTTGAAGGCTTTTGATGTGTATTGCCGGATTGGCCCCCTGGAGGCTCTTCTAATTTACATTCCCACCAACAGCTTACAAATGTTGCATATTTCCCCAAACCCTGGCCAACTGTGGGTATTATCATACTTTTAAATCTATGCCAATATGATAAGTTGAAAAAAATGTGCATATATGTATCCTGTTTTAATTTACGGTATATTTTAATGAGCAGTACATGTAGTCTTTGAGATTAAACTAGGTTTAATAAAGTTTGCATAGACCTAACTGCCACCTGGTGGTAGAGCTTAGAATTGCAGGTATAGTTTAAGGAGGAAATCAACATTTTTGAGAGCTTCCAGATCCCGGTTGGTCCAGGGACATCATGGAATCAGCAGCCTAGGAGGAATTCTGAGCTTTGAACATTGTGAGTCAAAGGTGGGACCCACAGAGGAGCCCTAGGCACTTCACTCTCCTTGCATTTTGGGATAGTAACCAGCATTTATGTTAATGTGGGGGGAGGGGGGACCTACACAACCAGTTTGCCATGGGATAGAGAGAAAGGAACAGTTAGTTAGGGGTCACTGTGACTTCCTGGGTATTTCTTATCACAAGCCTTTTTTTCTCTCCAAACCGTGGCTTCTGTCCAAGATGCAAAAGGCTTGTCGTGCAAGGCTCAATCTTGCTTACACCTTGACTTTTGCACAGAAAACATCAGACTCTCACCATCTGCTAATTACAGCATCAAAACTCTTCCTCTTTGGTGTTTTGGGTTTTTTTGACTCTTAACATTGAGGTTTTGTGACTTTCTGGTTTGCTTTACACCCTCCGAGTGCAACTTAAACATTTCTCGAAAAATGTGTTT